AGGGTTGGGGGACCTTTGGGGTTCTCACTTTCCCTCTCTCCCCTCCCCCTTTTCTCACGTGCCTTTCAAGGCTCACGCCAGACATATAGATAGCGGGGTGGTACATACGTGGAAGGAAATAGTCATGTGACTGCATGAAATGTTAACAGTTACGTGACTATTCAATGGTCCGTGGGGGCGGGTGCACTCCAGCCCCACTCCCAGGGAGCCCCCTCCCACTCTGCATTGCTGCTGCTGGATCAGAGCCAGCAGTGTGGGGTGCCAGGCAGGAGCTGGTCCGCGAGGGGAGCCAGTTGAAAAAGGGCTCCCCTCACCCTGCGCTGCTGCCTCTGATACAGAGGCAAGACCATGGGGTGGCAGCAGCCCCTGTCCACAGGGGGTCCCATGGACAGAGGCAGCAGCACACGGGGAGGAGAAGCACCCCATAGACAGTGGCTGCTCCACATCCCATTAAATAGCCCCTGTAATGTTGTCTGTTCATCTATCCCTGCACACACATCTATCCCCCATACACGGGTGCTGGGGTTTCTGGAGATTCCACAGTAGGTGGGTGGGGGCTGGAGGATCTCAGGGGGGGTGCACTGAGGACTGAGGGGTGTTGGAGAAACAGGATGAGTGGGTGTTGGGGTTTGGGGTAGGATTATCAATTAATTACAGTTAACTCATGCAGCCGACTCTAATCAATCAAGCACAATTTAAAAAACATAAAGAGATTGCAATACGGTACCGGTAGGAGGTGAACGAAAAATAATATTTCTTTTGTTTTTACAGTGCAAATATCTGTAATCAAAAATAATGTGAGTGCTGTAGACTTTGGATTCTGCTTTGTAATTGAAATCAGTATATCTGACAATGTAGAAAAATCCAGAAATATTCCACGAAATGGCGAGCGCTTATTGTGTAACAGCGCGATTCAGCATCATTCTTTTTTTAAATTTCGTGACAGCCCTGGTCTCTGGATAGGTGAGTGGGGGTCCTGGAGGGTCTTTGGCAGTGCTGGTGTTGGTGGATGGTATCTAAAGGGTCTCGCATTAGCGGTTGTGGGGACAGGTGGGAGGCTGGACTATGAAATAGCAACTCTACCTGTTACACCAGAGCTCGATGCGGGACTCACAGCAGACGAGCTAAGCAAGGTCAGTCATTTGCCGTCAAGTGGCAAGGCTTTTGGAAAAGATGCCATCCCAGCGGAAATCTGCAAGCGTGAAAGACAACCTGTTACCGTTGTGACGAACCCCCCTCCCCCGCTTTATGAACTGGACTGATGGACACAACTATGCAGAACTCCGAGATGCTTTGGACAAAATGTTTGAGGGAACCTATCGCCCTCCATGTCACAGTCTGCCGGGGCTGTAGATCTTGCTTTGGTGTGTGTCTCACCCTTGTGTGATGGGATAGGAAATGGCTGATGGCTTTAAATGTGCAAACAAAAGCCACCCAGGGTGTTTCCTTCGATGTCTGAGTGATCACCAGTAAACAGCTTCCTTTGTCCTTTGAATCCAAGCAGAGACTGGTCTTAGGAAAACTTGGGACCACCCCAGCGGGTAGGGGCTGGTCAGGTAACTTTCTGTGAAAGGGTGGAATGTAGAAACAGAGAATTCCCACCCCAAGTGGGATCTATAACACCAGGGCCGGCTTTAGGCCAATTCAACCGATTCCCCCGAATCGGGCCCCGCGCCTAAGAGGGTCCCGCGCTGGCTGCTCCCCTCCCACAGCTCTGTGACATGCCGTGCTCAACAAAAAATCTTGGTTGCCGGGGCTCCGTCGAAACTGTTCAAATTGTGCCCCGGACTTCCCAAAGCCGGCCCTGTGTAACACAATGGGGAACTGGCTGTCCCTTGGTCTTTGCCTGGCATGGCCACCAAAGAGGACAACTAAAGAGTCCGAGGAAAGGGGACTTCCCTGGTTTGGAGGCTTGGCTGCAATAAGGACACTTTTAGGGTGACTGTCGTGATCGTGAGTGTATGTTGGAATTGGCTCTTGCATTATGGTTGTTTTAAACTTGCAATTCACTGTACTCGGCCTGTTTTCACTTGCAGCCACTGAAATCCCGCTGCTTGTCCTGAATAAAAACACTTGTGTGTACTATCCAGCCCAGTGTAAACGACTGTTACAACATCAGTGCACACATCCTCCTTTCAGTGCTACAGGGGGCTGGCCGGGATGATAGATTTGGGTTCTGAGCCCATGTGAGGAGGGGTGTCCCAGGAGGCCTTGGTGCAGAACTCACTAGTGCACCAGGCAGGGGGCCTGGGGTGGGCAGGGGATCAGATTAGACCATCTACAAATCTTTTCTGGTTTTAAACTTTGCAGATCTAGGCCAGGCTGCGTGTGGCTCTCAACAGCCTCTGCTGTGCCCATGGGCAGCCGGCTTGATCCACAAAACTCACAATGAGTGGAGGGAGGGGAAGAGGGGAGCAGCTCAGCCATGCAAAGGGGCTACCAGGGGCAGGGGCTGGGTATAGGGCTGTCAGATGGTTTAACAAAAAATACCAAACACCCCCAAAAACACCCAGAAAAATTCTGTTGAGAAAAAAAAGGCAAAGATCAAAGCTGACAAGCAAAAAAAAGGGGGGGAGGGGGCTGTGCCTTTAAAGGGCCCTGCACTCCTCACCTCCCTGCCCCCCGCCATACAGGGCAGGGGAAAATTGTCCCCACTGGGCTTTCATCCGAGGGAAACAGGAAATGAAACATGAGGCATTTTCTGGGGTTTTTTACCAGGCGGGGGACCCGAATACTGGGTGAAAACCAGACACCTGGCAACCCTCGGTGGGTGTGGTGATGACATCATAAGGGCCTTTAGCAGCCCCAGATCTAACCATGAGTGAGTTGGGGAGGTTTGGAGGGGGGCAGCTGAAGATCCAAGAGTCGGCCAGGGCAGGAGTGGGTGCACCAGCGACATCGCACTGCCTGGGTTCTTCACGCTGCCGGCTGAGCTCAGGGGGTGCCCCCTTGGCAGATGCAGGGGGTGGGGGCAGGGCTCACCTGCGGGATGGGGGGCACAGGAGGAATTACAAGTGGGGCTGGGAGGGTGAGTTGATGCGGAGGACGGGGGCTTGGGAATGGCTGGACGGAGCCTTTGGGAACAAGATGGATTTAGGAATTCGGGGCTCGATGGCTCCTGAGCCCACTAGGGCACCGGAAATGGGAGGAGAGTTCCCCGCACGCTGGGGAGGGACAAACAGACCTGCCTGCACCAGCGGATTCTCTAACACAGCTCGTGATCTCAGGGGCCTGACTCGGGACTTTCAGCCTGCGGGCTGGGCCGTGCAGAGGGGCGGGCTGGCTGCGGGGAAGGGGAAGAATGGCTGGGGCTGGGGGAGGCTTTGGGGCTGGGGGGCTTTTGCTGCCGGCATGAGCGGAATAGCTCATTTTGGGCAGACTTACGGGTGCCTGGTGCGCTCAGGGGACACCAGGGCTGGACACAGGATTCCAGCAGGAGTCGCACCCGCGCCAGGCCCAGAGGGGAGCTCTCCAGTTCCCCTGTTTACACCACTGTGACATCCCCAAGGCACAATCCAGAGCAGCGGGGTCAGCCTGGCCCGCTAACTGAGGACACGCTTAGCTCGGCTTCGCTGCGGTAGCCTCCCGGCAGCCGGCTCACACTCACCCCCGCCCTGCGCCCCCCTCCCCGCACCACCAGGCCCACCCAGGCCTTCCCAGCCTGAGTTACCCCCGGGGGGACGCCAGCTCACTCCCAGCCCAGAGTTAGACCCGGAAAGGCCCCCGCCCCGTACTGCCCTGCCCACTCCTGGGCACAGCCGGCTCCTACAAGGTCCCTCCAGTTATGAACAGAAACGATCCAAGCCAACCTACTTACCTCACGTGGAGTGTCCCAGTCCCGTCCATTCAAACCCGCGGGATTGGGCGCAGCAGTGGGGCAGGCGTATTAATGACGGGGGGCGAGACTGTAAGTGAATCCCAGGCAGAAATGCTGCAAGAAAAACCAAGACGAAAGGCAGCCGGGGCCGTGACAGACCAGGGGGCGCTGAAAGCAGAATTCTCACCACGTGTTCCCAGCAGTCACTGGCCGGACTCCGTGGGCCAGGACCCTTCTTCGGGGTCATGGCTGCTCCCCGGCCCTGTCTCACACCGTGAGCCCATGCTCAGAGCGAGTGAGAGTCCTGCGGGGGGGGGGGAGGTCGTCCCCTTTTCAGAGGGTCAGTCCCTCCAGGGACCACACTTCCAGGTGAGGCTGTTTCCAGCTGTTTTTCCTCCTCTGCCTGGGGTTTCGGTCTCTGCCCTTCCCACTTGACAGCTTTGCTGAAGCTCGCACACCTGCCTCCTGGCATGCGCCACAGACCTGGGTAACAACCTCTGTGTGGGTGTATCGTGTGTTGCCAGCACCCTCCAGTGGAGCTATAGCACTTTGCACACACTGTCACCACACGTCACCTGCAGTCTGGGGGTTCTCGAATGACACCTCCCCACCATAGTGAAACAAAAAACCAGTTGTGTAACACTTTATAGACTAACAAAATAGTTTAGTCCGTGGTGAGCTTTCATGGGGCAGACCCACTTCTTCAGATCTTATTCTGAAAGTGAATAGACATGACCATTATACAATGAAAGAAAGTTAAAAAAAATTACTGTATATTGGACAAACTGGTCAGTCACTTCACCAAAGAATTAATGCTCACTGATCAGACATCAGAAATCTCCACTCACACAGACCTGTCAGCCGGCATTTCAATCAAACTGGCCATGCTCTTAAAGACACACAGCTACATTTCTATCACTAACAACATGCGTCTTACTACAAAGAGACTTTAACACCAAATTACAGAGGGAGACTTCAGAACTTTTATTTATGCTAAAATTTGAAACTTACAAATGGGCCTTAATTGAGATGATAATTATCTTACACATTACAAAGACAGCCACTTAATTGACTCTTACAATAAGCAATTTCCTCCTTTCTTGTCGCTCTCCCTCCTTGCCCCCATCTTCTGTTCTGTGTAGCTGATTTGTCAGTTAAAAACATTTTTTTTTACTTTCTTTCATTTTAACTTCTTTTGTTTAACTTTCTGTTGTATAATGGTCTTGCCTATTCACTTTCAGAAGAAGATCTGAGGAAGTGGGTCTGCCCCACAAAAGCTCACCACAGACTAAACTATTTTGTTAGTCTTTAAAGTGCTACATGACTGCCTTTTGGTTTTACTTCCCCACCACTCACCCCGTGCACAGACTGTTACACGGATAAGCACAGGAGCTGTTCTGTTCCAGCATCGCAGGCCGGATAGGTGAGCTCCGATGGCCCCAGTGTTGCACTGAGAGCTCATGTTCAGTGTATTACCTCAGACGATCTGCTCCTGGCCGAATGCATTGACACCGCAACGACTAATAACAGGTCTTGTCTGCCTGTGCCCAGCTTGTCACGTGAGCCAGGTCGCCCTGCGTCGCTAACCTGTGCTGGTCGTTGCGTACCACTCCCCCGCTCTGTGAGTCATCTGCTAACGTTGTGGTATGGATCTGCTGCTGCCTGCAGGGATAGAAAATGTTAAATAGCGGAGGGAGGCCCAACACCCAGTCCTTGCAGGCAGTTCAAATACAACCAGTCCCAGCTGCCCAGAGTTGTTCCCCCTTTACAATGACACCTGGAGAGCTGTCAGCCAGCTTGTAATCCATTTCCCGGGTGCCGCCCGATGTTTGTGTCGTTCTAGGTGTCTTTTTATCTGACTGACATGCAGAGCCAAGGCAGGTATCTCACAGATCTCTCAGTATGTTTACACTTGAAAAGATTATTTTTCCTTAGTAAATGTCAAATGGACCACACCCACACACAAACACACGCCTGCACCCATACACACACACACACACACCAATCCACACGCACACACACACCCCCCACACGCACACACACACCCCCCACACACACACCAATGAAAAATGATTCCGTCTGTGAGCACTGAAATTTAGGCAGAGGACGAAAAATGCAGCAGGCGACGTTACTAGACTTTGAAGTAAAGTCGCGTCGATTGCATATTTCAACAAGGGCTGGAGATCATGATTTTAATGGTCTACTAAGATCTAATGTTTTGAATTGCCTCTTCCACTGTCAGGAAATAAGCATGAAATAATTCCTGCCCGACCCCTCTCTCCATACTTTCTTGAAATGCTCATTGTTAAAAAAAAAAGGCTTAAAAATAAGCATGAATATTATCCATCAAAATTATATTATATTAAAAAAATCGAATTCTGCCAAGCCAAGTCGATTCCCTCAACGCGGTTCATTTGAGCAGCCAAATCAGCCATCTCATGGCTAAGCGAGGGGGCGCCGTGGCAGGTACGTCTGCACTGCAGGGGGAACGCCCCTGCACCAGGTCTGAGATCAGGCCAGTCGACTCACCCTCCCCAGGCTTGGGCTGCAGGGCAGGTGTCTGGGCTGCACACACCCACCCCTGCCAACACCCTCCCCGAACCCACGTTGTGGCGTCTACGCGGCTCTTAGCTCCTCAGCCTAAGCACCCGGAGTCCAAGTCACCTGATGCTCGGCCCTGAGGGACTTTGGCTGCCCTGCAGATGGGCCCTGTCAGGCCTGCTCTGTGCTCGCTCCGTGCATCTGCCCAGCAGGGGTCCAGGACGTGAAAAACCCGCCACAGGCCGACGTGGCTCTGCTGACAGTCCCAGCGCAGACACAGCCGGGCCAGCGGACATGAGGTTTAGTGGTTAGAGCAGAGAAATGGGAGCCAGGACTCCCCATTACAACCCAGCCCTCTCCATCCGCCGTTAAGCCCCTTTGCTGCGGAGGAGACGGCTGCAAACAACGGCGGCGTCTGCCCATGGAGCAGGTTACGTAGCAGATCAGAACTGTGCCCCATGGACTCCGGGGTGTGAACACAGGGCCCAGGAGGTCGGCAGCCACCGTGACTGCCTCCCTGAAGCCGGCCAAACCCACCGGGACTGGCCGAGCAAGGGCGGGGCCCAGACCTGATAGGAATGTCGTTGTTTGCGCTGCTGCCGGCGCTGAGTTCCTGCACCCTTGGCACACACAGCGCTCGCCGGGCAGGTGCAGCTGGGCTGGAGGAAGGACGCGCTCGCCGGGCAGGGGGCTGAGAGGAGACGGGTGGACGTACCGAGCGCCGCAGGCTGCTGCCACACACAGAGGCTGCCGGGGGCGGGGCCCAGACCTGATAGGAATGTCGTTGTTTGCGCTGCTGCCGGCGCTGAGTTCCTGCACCCTTGGCACACACAGCGCTCGCCGGGCAGGTGCAGCTGGGCTGGAGGAAGGACGCGCTCGCCGGGCAGGGGGCTGAGAGGAGACGGGTGGACGTACCGAGCGCCGCAGGCTGCTGCCACACACAGAGGCTGCCGGGGGCGGGGAATGTCGACTGTCCGGGGCAGGCGGAGGGGTGGGTGAGAGCAGCAGGACTGGGGCTGCCCTGCGGGGCTTTGGGGCGTATTTTTCACTGGTCACGTCCCGGTTGTCCGGGCTTTATGTTTGGTCCCTCGGCACGTTCCGGAAGGGCACCTCTGGGCCTTCTTCACGAATTCTGGGGCTGTTACTTTCCGTGGGGCTCTCCCCCAAAGCTCACGCCTCAGCTGTACCTCCCCTGGCCTCCCATCCGCCTGCCCGGCACACCCTGGGCGTGGAGGGGCAAGTGGGGCGGGGGGAGGGGTATGAGCATTAAGGAGGAGGAGGAGGGGTTGGCATGAAGGCAGGAGGGGGCAGAGCTGGGGTGTGAGGAGACACGGGGCTTTGGGGGGGACTGAACCTCCCCCGCCCTCCCGTGCTGCACAGCTCTGACCGACCGCGGGAGCAGCAGAGTCGGGGGGATGGGCAGGACCTGGCTCCCCGCAAGTGGGGCGGGGGGAGGGGTATGAGCATTAAGGAGGAGGAGGAGGGGTTGGCATGAAGGCAGGAGGGGGCAGAGCTGGGGTGTGAGGAGACACGGGGCTTTGGGGGGGACTGAACCTCCCCCGCCCTCCCGTGCTGCACAGCTCTGACCGACCGCGGGAGCAGCAGAGTCGGGGGGATGGGCAGGACCTGGCTCCCCGTGGCTGGACAAGTCGGGGAGTGGTGGGTCCCCGTCCCTGACAGGGAGGCAGGGGGAGGGGACTCCCTCCTGGAGAGGAATTGAAAGGGGTTGGAGGGACACAGAGCCGAGGTCTCCATGTCCCTGCTCCCCTTAGCACGCGGGCTG